CCTTTAATCTCATATTTGTCTTCTTGACATCAAAACAGCAGATCATTTAGTAACCACGCTTCTGCTCCTCTCAGTAAATTTTTCATTTGGTCTTATTCTGTAACTACAAGCTCTTCAGTCTGTTCCACTGAAGTGTTAACTCTTTTAAAAGTCCTAATACAACAATCCACACATAGGAATTAAATGGATATGGTATAGAATGGCAGAACATTGCCAGTTTTAATCCCATTAACCATAACTTCAGGACCTTTGATTTTGGAGACAAGGATGCCATCAGGAAGAGTGTTTGAGCACCTTTCAAGTGTCTTTAAGTTAATACTCAATATAGAGGGTTTTTCCCTCTACCTAAAGCCAGGCAAATCAATAAGGCTCACCACATTGACCACAAACGTATTAGGCATATGAAAGTCACCCATACACTTATCAAACATTCATTCAGTCCTACTATATGCCAAGTACTGTGCTAAATGCAGGAGACACAGTATTGACAAATGCATTGGTATGGACTTAGAACAGCAATTTTCAACCTTTTTCATCTCATGGGACACATGAACTAATTACTAAAATTCTGTGGCATATCAAAAAAATATATTTTGTGTGTATCTGACAAAAAAAATTTTTTTGATTAATTTACCTCCCAAATATTAATAATAGTAATTACCTATCCTTTTTTGCTCCAAAGTGACTTTTTAAAAAATCAGGTGCCTTTCTCAGCAAAATGGGACTAGAGGAAACATACCTTAATGTAACAGAGGTCCTATATGACAAACACACAGCCAACATCGTATCAATGCGAAAAACTAAAAGTGTTTCCCTTAAGATCTAGAACAAGGCAGGGATGCCCGCTTTCACGACTCTCATTCGACATAGCACTGGAAGTCCTAGCCACAGCCATCAGACAGGAAGAAAACATAAAAGGCACCTAAATTGGAAGGAAAGAAGCAGAACTGTTGTTGGCTGAAATGAAGCTCTTCCATGGGATTGTGAAGAAAGAATTCCAAGGACCCACGCACAGGAGATTGTGATCTCGTGGCAAGATTTACTCAGGAAGTCTTCCCCTGCCCCTGGGTTTCCAATATCCCACAGCTCGCTGTCCTGCCATGGAAAAAGTCCAACCTTGTTTTCAGCAGGCTTCTGAGGGGGCCCACCCCCTAGCTGATAATATTTTCCCCAGGTTACAGTGACAGGCCTCTATGGCTAAGTACCTCCCCCTGCCCCATTTTGACTTTATTGCATGTGTTCTTACCTCCCCCGCACCACACACCGACCATACAGGAGTGGGGAGAAGGAAGGGGTGTTAATCCCCTTGGAGGGACAATGCTGCACTTCCTTGGGGTGTAAAGCTGTAGCTTCCTAGTGAAGCAAACAGGCTCAGTGTCCCCAAATAACCATGCTTAACAATTTCTCACTTTGCTTGCTTTCTTCCCTTTAATAACTAACTAAAGACTGTTAAAAACAACAAAAACCAAAAACCAATAGTCATTATTTGCAGATGACATGATACTGTATATAGAGAAACCTAAAGATTCCGCCAAAAAATGACGAGAACTGATAAATGAATTCAGTCAATTAGCAGGATACAAAATAAATACCCAGATCAGTTGCATTTTTATACAATAATGAACTATCAGAAAGGGAAACTAAGAAAACAATCCCATTGACAATTGCATAAAAAAAAACCCACCTAGGAATAAGTTTTTTTTTAAAAATATATCTTTCTTGATTTCAGGGAAAGGAAGAGAGGAGAGATAGAAACATCAATGATGAGACAGTCATTGATCAGCTGCCTCCTGCATGCCCCCTACTGGGGATCGAGCCTGAAACCTGGGCATGTGCCCCGACCAGGAATCAAACCATGACCTCCTGGTTCATAGGTTGACACTCAACCACTGAACCACACCAGCCAGGCAAGAATGGCACATTTAATGGAATGAATAGAAGGGTTAAAAGCTTGGGCTTCTTATCTGGTGTGTTTATTTCTTTGAGCTTCACATTTCTTTTCAATGAGATTCACAATCTCTCTTGAATTCTACAGTCCATCTCCCATGCAACTATGGGAGGCACACCTTCCCTAGAAAGTCCCAGGAAAAAGAAACAAAAAAATATCCCTTAGTCTGATTTTGGTGAGGACTTTGGTCCTACTCATAGTGTAAGCAGAAGGTGTCCTAGCTCAAGAGGAGCCTATATTTTTGTCTTAACTTTTTGTATCTCTCTGTGCAAACTTATTGGGTGGCCAACAGTTGAGGGGCTTGGTTGCTGGCTTAATATCATCTCTACATCACTCACAACTATGACTGAAGGTTCCAAGAAAGACAGAGACCAATCCTAGCAGAAGNGTTGAGGGGCTTGGTTGCTGGCTTAATATCATCTCTACATCACTCGCAACTATGACTGAAGGTTCCAAGAAAGACAGAGACCAATCCTAGCAGAAGGTAATTCTGCTACTGGGTACAGGCTGATGTGAAAGATGGAACAACTAAGATGGAAACAAGCAGATGCAGCTGAGACGTAACATGGCCAGCACGAGGGTTGAGGTGGTAGAAATGCGAGGGAGGAGCTCATCCTGAAACCACTGTGAAGAACTTCCAAATTCCCAGGCTGCTCCTCTGAGAGTGGAGAATTGGAAACAGAACCTTGGCAGAGGATGGTGATTGGAAAACTACAATCATCCTGACCAGTTACATGTCCTACCGCTGCTCCAGCTTGGCAGGGAGCTTTCTGACTCAGTGGTGCGGTGATTACACACTGAAAACTTGGCCTCAGCTTGTCCCCTCCAAGGACCCCTGGAACGCTGCAGCTAATCAGCACACTGGTCATCAAGGGTCACTTGACATTTTGAAAATGTGTTTTAGATACCTGGGCAAGTCTGTTGATACATTCTTTCAGTGTCCCTACAGAGTTGGAATAAGCCGTGGCTAACGGGACATGTCAGGCACCACCTCCACACATGGAACTGCTTTATTCAGGAGCCAGGGCCAGAGCCAATGAGTGGTCTCTATCCTGCTGTCTGACTCGGAGGTGGAGGAAACTAGAAACATCAGGACATCAGCTTGTGTGGATTATAAGCGGGAAATCAGGTGCCCTGGGAGCCTGAACACCAGCGCACAAGGGCAGCCTCCTAGCACCAGAAAATCATGGGGCAGCGAGGACGCCTGGAAAGCAGGCAAGCAATTGTCCCACTGGATCAAAGTGCACTATTATCATTAGAAACATTCCTAGGGTGGTTAGAACACAGGGCTTCTTCTTGAGTCAAATGACACCCTCCCCCTCATATGCGCGTGCGCGCGCGCACACACACACAACCTATGGGCATAAACGGACATAAGCCTTAAGGAGAAAAGCAAATCTCAACAGAACACAGGGAACACACATATACATATCATCTCTGGCTACAATAGTCACTATCTTTCCCTTNGCACACACACACACACACACACACACACAACCTATGGGCATAAACGGACATAAGCCTTAAGGAGAAAAGCAAATCTCAACAGAACACAGGGAACACACATATACATATCATCTCTGGCTACAATAGTCACTATCTTTCCCTTTACAGAAAAAGTTTGCTGACCACCAGTGCAGATGATACTCCTTCTTAATATATTAACATTCGGTTAATTACTTATCCCACCTTGCAGGTAGACTTCATCTGACGTGTAAGGGATTGTACCTATTTGAGTCTAATATTACCTATTAGATTTCTCATTTTTCCCTTTGGTGTCCTCCCTGTGGAGATGTTCCCCTTTCTGCTAGTCACCCTCTGCGAGGTCTCTGGAATCTGCAGGCTCCGAGGACTGCAGTGCTCACACCCAAGATACAGGCGTGCTCCTCACAGCGCTGCTTGAAGCTGCCGAGGCCTTCAACACCCTGTCCTGTCATCCTAAGGGCACGATCAGGTTTGATAATTGGTATCATGGCCCGTCTCTGCTCAACCACAGGATGATTATGAGGCATTTTGAGATAATTCTGCCCAAGGTACTTGGTTCAAGTCAAGATTCTGACTGGCTCTTCTGGCTCCACACAGGAATTTCCAAATCAAATAGTATAAGTAACCAGAAGTCTACTGCTACCAATGACGGTGCAGTAGCTCATGGCTGGTCACTCTGTGTTTGCAGAACGCTGGACAGACGAGATGAGAAGAATTAATGTGGCTTAATTTTAGAAAGCTCGATAATCAGGGTCATGTGCTGGAACTGTTTACCCAAGTAGGCTATGAGCGTCCTTCCCACGCACTGAGGAGTCATGCAGATGTCTTGGCTATATTAAACCAGCATTTCTCCAAGTGTTCAGTGAAATGTTACGATATATTGGGGAAAATTCTGACTTGAACAAATGAAAACTATTTAGGACTGAAGTGCTAAGATCCTTTAGTGTCAGTGGTCCCAGTAAATGTTTAATAGGAAGACATATTCTACAGTGTTTCCAAACTTGTTTGACCATGGAGCCCGTTGACTCAAAGTATCTTAACTGAACTCATGTTCTCCAGAATATTCTTTGTCAAACACTGATTTAAACAATACCCTGCCTGACTGGAAGGCTGTAAACGAGATGATTTTTCCAGGTTTCTTTGAATAATGTGATTCTAGTAAAACTCCTTCAAGCACAGGCCATGATTAGGCCTTCACTACTTTATTACCTATCATAGGTAGGAGATGAATTTACCTGAGATAAGATATAAAGAAACTATTTAGGTGAGAAAACTGACATGCAATGGAGATAACATTTGATGTGGAGTCATAAGAGGTAGAAAACATGACATTTCTGCCACTAATTAGCTGTGCTATTTTAAGGAAGTTGCATAAGTTATCTGAGTCACAGATTCTTGACCTATAAAATGTGTTTAACAATACAGTACTACCTATCTCAAGAACTGTTGTGATGATTAAATCATGATATACATCACATGTGACTATACACTTGAATACTTGGTATAGCTGTAAGGAAACAAATTTTAGGTCTTCAAAAAAGTTAAGAAAAAAGATGTGAAAATTTTATTTAAGCTGGTTTTCCTGTAACATTGTATTATTTTATAAAATAATCTTATAAAAGAGTTCATCAAGATATTACATAGAAAATACACACTAAGGTAATATATGTACACTTCATAAAAATAGAATACATCTTGGCAATTGCTTCCAGAGTTGGTTACCACCATGTACAGTGTATTGACGTTTAACATTTATGCTGATTTAACATATGAGATTTTTCAAGAAAAACGAAGAAAACGGTCCCATGGATATTTTAAAAAATTGTTTCCAATCGATAAGTAAAAACAATTCTGGAATGTGAAAGTTAAGGAGCTAACTGAAGGGCAGGTTATATCAAAATATTAGAGCAAAGATCCATGCCATCAACAATTATCTGAGGACAAAGTAATATTTTTTTCTATTATCATAAGTGGTTCAACTGATTTTACAAAATCACTGAAAGGAATACCCTTATTTTGGGTGTTCAATCAAGGCGTGCACCATTTGGGATCAACATAACCTTCTAGAAGCTGTACTATATTTTTAAAATGAGTGGTATTTCTTTTTTTCCTTAAAGTGAAAAGAGGTGTATAAGTCCTTTAATAAAATATCAATACTTCTCTTAAAAAAAGCATCTTCATAACTTACTTAAGCTTTGCTCAAAAAACACAGCAACCAGTTTTATTACTTTAAAAATGGCCAAACGCTCAAAAATCTACTTGACTTTGAATTATTATAGTTATTTTATTGGGTTGGTTTTTTTTTAAGGAAAATGATCTTAGCTACTATGCTACCATAAAACATCACTGATGTGTCCTGTTAGATGTTCAGAATAATCCTTGGAGGGTAACTGTTCCAGTGTAATAAATAAAGAAAACAACAAGGGGCTTTTCTAGACCTTAACGAAAGGATGGGACCATGGTGGGATCATGAAAATACCTCAGCAGTACCAAGGAAGACACGCAAAACAGAGCATTAGCACCATTTTCAAGTTGCCAAGATTGCAACCATTCAGGAGACGGTGATCTGGAAGCGAACTGGATCCCCAGGATTAACGCAGTTTAAATATGTGGGCCTGGCTTCGGCGAGCTGCTCAGTACGGATAGGCAGACACGGCGATGTACACTATGAACGTGGTCTGGTACTCAAGGGTCCCGTTGGCGCTGTAGGACCGGGCCCGGACCCGCATGCGGTAGGTCTCTGGCTCTCGCAGCGGTCGCGTTGTGTACACCACTCCTTTCAAGTGTTCAACCCTTAAGGCGAAGGGAACGGTCTGTTCCTCATCTACCATGAGAAACGTCGTCCTGGGATGCATCACTCCGTCCTGCGTGTAGGCGACCAGCCGGATTAAATCCTGACTGGCGGCTATTCCAAAGGGGAGGGACACGAGTTTGTATTCCAAGGCATATGGGCTCGAGGCACATTCCAGGTCATTGGGTGGACAGTTCTTGAGGCAGAACCTGAGGACAAGAAAACACATAAGTGCATCTCGTTTTCTGGCTTGGAAGCAGGAGAAGACAAGATGCAGGTGACGGTGATCCATGACAACTCTCAGGCATCCGAGGCAGGAGGCAGGCCGCATGCAAGAGCAGAAAGGCTTGCCCCATGCTCTGCGTCGCTAACTCTAACCAGATGCCACATGGCTGTGACAGCAGGCTGGTCTAGAGTCAAGCAGCCATCTCTCAGCTCCATGAAAGGCAGAAGCTTTTGAGCCACGGAAGAAGGGATGAGTACCACAGAGTAACTTTAAAAAGTCAGTTGCAGAAATGGAAGCATCTGCTGGAAACAGTGCCTCTTAAAGAGAGGAACACAGGCTTTAAAAAATTTTAACATCTATCTTAACACTGTTTGAAAGCTGAAATAGATATTGATATCATTTCATTTATTTTTTGAAAATAATAAAAGGTTAATTAGGGTTCCCGAGGTGGGGGGGGGGCGCTTTCCTTTCGTATTTGTCTTCCGCGTTATTTTAGATTAGAAACTTTCTAGCCTAATTGTAATTCCTCTAATTGTAATTTCTCTTTCATGAGCCCAACTTAGCTGTTTTGGAGTCATCATGACTTTTCAACTCTCTGCTGAAATCGTCGGTAACAAAGAGTAAACTTAAAAAAAAAATGCACAAAGGATCATTTTCTGAAGATACGGATAGATTCTTCAATCACAGCATTTGTAGAAGTTTCATAAATCTTATTTTTAATTTTCTCCCTCCCTTTCTTATTCCCCGAGACCGGTTATGAAGAGCTTTCTGGTGGATGCTGGGCAGGCCACACTTGACCTTGGTGCAGGAAGGGGGCAGTCACTGCTGACAGGAAAGGCAGGGCGTGAGCTCCAACGCCATTGGGCTTCAGAGCCCCTTCTCCCTAGCAGGTCTTACCCTCGAGGACCATCATCCGTGTGTTCCAGGCCCCCAGTAACTCGGGGCCTGACCAGTGCAGAACATTTCTGTAAGGGGAGGGAGAAACCAGAGGAATCGTTTATTCAGACAGCAGGGGATGGATGGACGGGCAGACTACTGACTCACGCCTGCTCCTCTCCACTCTCTCATGAAGTCACCGTGAGTCACCACAGTGACAGCCAAGGTCCTTCTTGGAATGCTCGCAGCGCCCAGAGACCTGAAGACTCTGAGCCAACACAGACAGACACTAGAAAACTTCACAGAAAGGCAGACGCCCATCAAATGCTCACTGCCGAGGCAGAATGCTAGACGTTGCATCGCAGAGCGGATCACACGCGGTGGAGACGGCTCCGGGAAGCCTTGGCAGCCCGCACTGGGAGCTTAGGCCGCAGCGGGGGCTGCGGGATGACTTCATTTCTTGCCCGTTACCCCATATCCCGTTGGGTTATGACTCCCTGTGAGTTAAACATGATTACAGACGGGGTTTGTGGTCAAGGGGAGGGAGGAAGAAGGGTTTTCAAGAGCATGTCTGCGAAGAGAGGGCAAGCCTTACCCTGAGACAGGATCCCGTTGGTAGTCGGGCGGACAAGGGGTGTCGAGGCACTGGTAGCTCCCCCTCATGTTGAAGCACATGCGGCTGGGCCCACAGCGCACATTCTGCTCCAGGCACTCATCAACATCTAGCAACAGCACAAGGGACATGCAGAGTGAGCGACGCAGGTCAGAACGGGCCATCGGAGCGGGCGGTGGGGACATCCGACCGGCACGTCCAGGGTTAGTCTTCTCCCCAGGAATGAACTTGGTTGCTGAACCTAAGATTCCTCAGCCACAAAGTGGGGGTCCTGACACCTGCTGTGCTATTTCCCAGATTGCTCTGAGGATAAGATTTGTTGGTGTGTTTTTTAACATATGTGAAAGGACACAGAAAAATAAGCACTATAAAAGTAGATGGGAAGCTATTAAGATCTCTCTGGTGTTTTCTATGTTTGGAATATAGAGTGCATTTGAGTTTTGTAAAGCAAATAATACTTTCCATTCACTAAAAACAAGCTAGATATTTCAAGGACATTTGTGAACCCTGAGTGAGCCTTCCCCAGCATTTTGTTTTATAAGTTCAAATTGCTGAGTAGGAGGTAGGCAGTGGGAAATAGAGGAGTCAAGTAAAAAATTCAGAGGAGACCGTACAAGTCAGTCTGACCTGCGGACAGAGACAAAATACAGAGAAAACAGGGTCAAGTGAAATGACCCAAGAGCCATGACCCACGTTTGATCAAATCTGAACTGTGCAGAATTCATCCACAGTTGTTATGGCAACGAGATGCTCTCCCTAGGGCAATAGCTCTCCTTGGGATGATGGAGACACATGCAGAAGAAATGCTCTTTACTTTGTCATTTTCTACACAAAGCTGTTAAATTGAAACACACTAAAAACGCTAAAATTCAGACATAAAGATGGAGCTAAAGAAAACTTTTTATGAGCTATCTGAAAATGAGCGTTTTTAAGCCTTGACTCTTAACTTGGGCTCTATATCTGAGCATCAGGAGATCTGTGAATGAGAGTGTGTGGGTGTGGGTGTGTGTTTTCAAGAGAGAGAGAGATGAATTTTCGGGAACAAGGGTCTATAGGGTTCTACAAAAATTTCAAGGGATTTTAAGATCCCAAAATTAAGAACCACATTTTAGACCAATACTTTCAGGCTGTGGGATTTGCATTCTCCTGGTGGTGCATGAAAGCTTTCTAGCAGTATGAGAGCAGGCAAATATTTCAGGGAGTCAATTTTCATCCATATCTTCATTTTTCATAAATTCTTGCTAAAAGCAATCTATCTGAAAACTTCCTGGGGCCTGAAATTCTCCATTCTGCTTTACAAAAGAAAGGTTTCCTCTAATCCCTAGTCTCTTTATGACAGCTGGGTATAAAATGCTTCAAGGGTGAGAACACATTAATGGTGACAGGCCTTATTTCATCATGGCTACAAATCAATGGTCTTAGCTCTCTCTATTTTTTAAATTAGATTTCAGAAGTGAGCTGGTTGTCATGGGAGCACATACTAACACTTTTACTTAAATAGGAAAATGATCATAGACTTTTTCTGACTGTCAATCTGGTTGGTTTAACAATGAGCCCAGACTTTTAAATTATATAGTGGTCATCCTCCATTAACTGAGTGAGTTAAATCCACAGCGCCAAAGTTTTAATAAAGAGATATTTAAAGCACGTGCCCATTAAAGAACACTGCCAGGATTCACATCCACTGCAACTACTTAAACACAATAATAAACTTTAGACGTCTTTTAAAAAAAGTATGAACTAAGAATAAGGTTTTCAAATTTCTTTTTGGAATAGACAAGCCAACAATTTGAAGACTACTTACTTTAGAATAAGTCTAAGTCAATTGGCTGCACATAGGTACTTGTAACATATGAGAAAATATAACATAAAATCATCATGCAAGGAAAGTACTTTTGTAGATTAAACTATCTCTCAAATCAGACACTGTTTTTACTCCAGTTGCTCAGACCTGACCCCTAAAGATGAACCCACAATCCTCCCCTATAATCTTTTATTCTTGATACCCTCATGATAGCAACTGGCCAGTCTTTGCCTGAAGGCCGAACTTTGATTAATTTTAGATTTATGGCATAAAGAAATATAATGTGATGTATAGGAGGGAACAAATATAATTAACTGGACCCAAACCAGTTCTCTGATGAGGTAGGTCCTGAAGGTTAAGTGCATTTCTATCATGGAACTGGTGCCAAGACCAATGGGCATGTGTAACTATTATGTCATTTCACAGTGGTAAGTGACTTGGAATCTGGATAATGGTCTTTATATTGGACTTGGGTTAAAGTTGTGAAGTTCTTTTCTGGACTCTTAAATAACTTGAAATAATGCTATTAAAAAAGAGAAAGGAGAGAAGAAATTCCAAGAGATAGTAGTCATACAAACATCTCAGAAGATGCCTGAAACTGTGTATAGTTCCAACCCTATATATACTCTGTTTTTTCCTAACATATATACCTATGAGGAAGATTAATTTATAAATTAGACACAGTAAGAGAGTAACAAATAATAAAATAGAACAATTATGATAATATACTGTAATAAAAGTTATGGGGATGTGGTCTCTCTCTTTCTCTCTCTCTGATAACTAAGTGATGAATGGGTGGGTAGCAGCCACAGCAAGATCCACTGGACACAGGGATGGGTCATGCCCTGAGCAGTACAGAATGGGATGGCCTGAGGTTTCCTCAGGCTATTAAAAATGGCGCTCAATTTAAAACTTATGAATTGTTTATTTCTGGAATTTTTCATTTAATTTTTTCGACCATGGCCGGCCTGGGTAACTGATACAGTAGAAAGCAAGACCACAGATAAGGGGGACTACTGTATATTAATCATGGACAGTAAATGTTAAATTTTATTTCTGAATTATTTACTACTTGCATTTCTGTCTCATAAATTAGCATTTTAGATTGGCTCTAGATATATTCCGTTTTCTGAGGCAATGACAGAAAATGTAATTATTTACTTTAAAGTTAATAGTCTGCACAAAATAAAAGCTACTGGGCTAGAATGAGAAGGAGTGCATCACTCACTTGACTTTTCACTTAGATGTGATGACAACGTGCTTCCCGTTACTAGTTTTCTATTAGAACTAGTTTTCCCACAGGGATGGAACACACTGCGAAACAAATTTTTATTTCAGTGAAGTCTTTGCCTATCGTCTCTGTGAACCAATTTCTAATTATGATTTTATCTGCCAGAAGTGCTTCATCTCCTTGACAGAATGAGATGGCCCCCTAGGGACATGTGAAAGAAATTCAATTAGCCTTATCTTCTTTTCTCTCATCAAAACACATTCCCTTCACACCCATCCTCCACATTTCATTTTAGCTGTGATTTTTGCAGTGAACTCATGCAGAAACACGCAGGCCTGTGGGCTCCAGGGCCCACGGAAACGGTGGCAGAGAGGCCAGAATCTGAACATGCGTCTGTATGCATAAGAACAGCTACCTTACTGTGTATTTTCATTAGCTAAATAGGAATCTATAAGGAAATGTCAGGATCTAATATACAAAGTGTTTGTCCTTAGCTTCATAATAATGCAACACTTCCCACAGAAAAGCTTTCTTAAGTATTCGAGCTTCTGGGAAGGGGACTCTCCTTTGTCTTCGGTCTATTCGTCTTTCCTCAGGATTAAGCACCATACGGGCATTCACTCAACTCTCTGCTCATCTTTCTACCAAATGGCCTTAAAAAAAGAAGCCAGGCCCAGCAGGTGTGGCTCAGTGGTTGAGCATGAACCCAGAGGTGATGGGTTTGATTCCTGGCGAGGGCACATGCCCGGGTTGCGGGCTCAATCACCAGTGGGGGTCGTGCAGGAGGCAGCCCATCAATGTTTCTCTCTCATCGATGTTTCTATCTCTCTAACCCTCTCCCTTCCTCTCTCTCTCTAAAAAAAAAATCAATAAAAACATATTTGGAAAAAAAAAGCAAGAAAGATGGAGAGATTGTGCTGTCTTCTGCTAACTGACATTGTGGTGATGCCTGGTTCTTATGTAGCATTGTAAGAAAATTATTAGGATAGAAATTATAGTCATTTTATAACATAAACATGATTGCTACAAGAAAAAGATACCAAGATGAGGTGAAAAACTTCTCTATAAATAGCTTTAGAACATATGAATGCACTTAACCAAGTGCTTCTGAATACATTAAATATAATTTAGGGTAAACATACTTGCAACATTTATCTTAAGGAAAGTGTAGAGCAACTCCGATTCTTGACAAATATTATGGGTGACTTTGAAAACCTGGATAGCTTCGAACGCTCTTTTCAAATGCAATGCCAATATAGTGTTTTTACATTTTCAGAATTAGACTAGTGGTGCTTAAAATTAGCATAAAGATTGTTTTAGTTTCTCTTCCCTTCTTGGGCAAGTCATGATTGGGTGTGTGTTTTGTTTTCCATTTGCAGCCTGGTGACTTCCACTTTTGACTAGAGTCTCTGTCGTTGTTCAATGTCAAATTCGCTCTAGTTTCCTTTCAGTACTGATATTTCTAGACTAACGTATAAAGCTTCAAAATGCACATGTGAATGAAAAGTAGTCTTTTGTTCCTTGTAAATGCCTCACTTTTCTAAAGCTATAAAGACTCCAAGTTAGTCTTTTGGGTACAGACTTCTTTAAAGGGCGTAATTGTTTTCTCTCAAGTCTTTTTTAAAACCACAAATATATGCAACCCATTTAAATTGCAAACGTTTCAAATAACACCTGTTTCTGATTTCTTCACGTTATTTTCCACTCTCTGAAGCTCAGCTGAAAGCTGAAAAATGTTCTACACTGAATGAGTGACAAGGGCAATTAAAAAGAAAACTGGAATAATTAAGAAGAGAAGAACATGAGAGTTGGACATAACATAACCCTTAAACATCTGGCTGAGGGGCTTTGCAGACCAGCTGTCTCACCTTGACACGTCTTTCCATTGAGCATGAGTCGATAGCCAGGTGGGCAGATGCACTGATAGCTTCCAAAGGTATTTTTACACTCATGTTGGCATGTGTCTCGGTTGGCACATTCATCAATATCTGTGGAGAAAGAAAGCAGAGTGGCTGACCACGCAAAACAAAGGGGAACTGTGATGGAACCAACAATAACCAAGCTGTTGGTACACACTCAAAACACTTCTAGGAGATTTAATACTCATCTGTTTAAAAATGCTCAGAGCTGTTTTATATCAGGGTCTGTTTTCAGTGGAGTCCAATATAAACTGGACTATTTTACAAAATGTGAACATCTTTTCTGTGTATAAACACTTATAAGCTGAAACCCCCAAATGGCCAATTTCTGTATTAGTTAAGTAAGACTGGAATGACAGACAAAACAGGTTTGTACAAGATCCTAAACCACCAGAGCACGAACTCTTGACAGACTAGGAGAATTTACCTAAGAGAATATTCGTTTTTATTTTATTTAAACTTCAGCTGCCTCTCCCTCTTTCTCTCCTTGCACCCTCCCCCAACACTCATGCATAGCTTTTCCACACACAGATATTATCCAGTGGAGGTGTGTTTATTTTTGTGAATATTCATCAAACTTCATAAACTTGTAAAGTGTGTGTGTGTGTGTGTGTATATATATATATATATATATATATGTAGTTGTCATTAGTACTTTATACGTATATACGTGTGTGTGTGTATATATACAGTGTCCCAAAAATGTATACACACACTTTGAATAATTATAAAGGCAGTGTTTATTTTCAAAATGTAATAGAATCAGCTGTTTAAATGTGTATACATTTTTGGGGACTACATATATATATGTACATATATATACAACTAATACAGGGTGTCCCCCAAAATGGATACACACTTTAACAACTGATAGCTCAATTTTGAAAATAAAATTATTTATTAAACACTGCCTTTATAATTATTCAAAGCATGTATACATTTTTTGGGACACCCTGTAAATATATATAATTGCTGCATCACCTTGGGCAGATTACTTAACTTCTCAATATCTGTTAATTTTTCTGCCAAAAGGAGTCTCCGATACAATCTCCCTAGTTTATAGGTGTTTGGAAGGTTCATATATAGTAATATATGTGGAAACATTTTCTAAACTATAAAAAGGTAACTGCTTTTACCTAAAATAACAACAGAAGTGAAAGTGATGATGGACTCCAGACAGTCAGTATCACATGTCCCAGAGTGTGAATTCTAAAGTGATTCCTGTATTCAGAAGCTCTGCAGTCTCCCTTTTTCCTGTGAAGCTTTGCAATCATGTCCTTGAAAAGTTAAATTTTAGCCCAAGTCTAATGATCCCATAATGTTAATCTGAATCTTTTGTAAATTATCTATCCCAGATGGTTAATTAAAGGCATCTGTTTATTGCAAGTTGCTCATCTCCTAATTCCAAAGCTGTCTGCAATCTTGGTGTAAATTGCTTTATTAGCACCAACACAATAAAATATTCCCCATACTTTAAGAACTATTTCCAAATGTCCAAGCCTATCAACTGGCCCTAAGTAAAACTTAAATATCCAGTAATTGACTAGTTATAGAGGTTTACTTTAAATTTTCCAAGACTGGTCCTCACTCTGAAACAGTAGCTGCCTCAAACAGGAGATGGTTTGGGGAAGATGAATTCCTGTAAACATAATATCAGTGTGACATAAACACAAAGACACGGAAAACGTATATAAGACCATGACGAGACTACAGGGCGTAGGGAGTGATGAAGGAACAGAACTGGGTCATCAATGAGGAACACTTTCTTAAAATGACTTGGGCTTTCAGATGACTGAGTAGTCAGCTAGACAGCATACGGTGTGTGGGTGAGGGTGTAGTTTAATTCTTTTATCAGGGTGTAGACAAAGACTTTTGGGGCAGAAGAACAAAGGTAGAAGAGAAGAACTTGTCTAAAACAAAGGTGAAGAGTGGGGTGATAATAGGATACAGAAACTATTTGAAAGAAATTTTGAAAGACAAAATGTGAAATGCTAATTCTGTCAATAAAAGAACAGGGAAAGGTTTTAACTAACAAAGAGTCCTGTCAAAATTGTGGGCATGGACAATTGCGAATAGAACAGTTTGGAGCAGGTTGGGAGTGGAGTTTGACATACTGGTAAGGAGAGTGGAGTCCTCAGATTTAGTAACTGAGTAGTGCTTTACCATGTGAGAAGAAACGCAGAGAGTAGTTAATGAATGCATTAATGTCTGAAGTTTAAGGAGTTAAAAGAAACTAGGCCTGTCCACTGATCTAGGAGGCTGATCACAGGAAAAAGACGCTATGTCCTATTATGCTTCAGGTACATTAGACATCTAGAGAGGGAAGTCCTGGGAAAATACGGACCTAAGAAGAAATGTTCAAGTTGAAGTACCCAGAGGGTTTGAGGGTCCAGACGAGTACAGGTGGTGTGAGTAGCTGGTCCACCCAAGAGGGACCAAGGAAGTCTATCTGAGAAGATGCTGATGCAGGGAAAGGCCTGGAGAGGTAAAAAGGTAAGTCAGCAGATGAAATTTTAAAAATGTTTAAGAGAAATGTTGAACAGAAAGCATATTTAGGAGAGAACAAGCAAAGTGTAGAACACTTAAGAAAAATACAAGAAAATCAGATAGGCGTAGAGGTCTCTTAAATGTAAACAGAGGTCTCTTACATTTAAGCAATTTCTTCCCTCCCCTCCTGCCCCTCTTCCCTCTCCACTTAGCTTTCTTTCTTCCTCTAACAAATAGTGGGGCTAATTCCTGTTGGCTAATTCCTCTTGGTGCATGCGAACTGAACGCTCACAGACAACTGATTTAAATGAAGGACAGATGGTAATACTTGCAACTTAACGGAAAGCAAGGTTTCAATTTTTGAGCTGGAAATTACACTTCCCTTTTGCAAACAAATTAAAATTCAGACTTATGAGTTTAGATAAAGACATTGGAAAGCACATACTTTAGAGTGATGGAAGCAATTTGTCCTGGCTCACATGACCTTTTCGGGGACTTCTATACAAAATAATCGAACTGAAAAATTCTCTGGCGAGTGTGGGATAGCAGTCAACACAGTGTTGGTTGTCATATAGAACAAACAGTCAACTGAGTAGCTGGAAGTTTCACTTTTAACCACTGCTTTGGCATCACTCAGATACAGCCATAACGATGGTATTATATTATGTGTGACAGCATGCATATTCTCTTTTTTAAAACCGTATTTTGGATGCCACTGAAATTTATTTCTATATAGCATTAAATTTAGGAACACTTGCAGGTGACCAAAGGACTGTCAATATAAAACAGTAGATTACTAAAATGCACACATGTAAATACATTATTTACTTGAATCGAAATTGTAAGAGTTTTTGGTGCCAGAGTAAATGTCTTGCAACTCTGAGTCATCCCAGATTTGAGATCAGATGTGGTTCACGGCACCCAAACGACCACAGGTGCTGTACATATGCTCAGACTGGCCCATCGTGAGCCCACAGAAAGGAAATGCAATACGGCTGACATTTACCTACACATGTGTCATGGTTTGCCTCAGAGCCTTCAGGGCAAGTTTTCCTAAAAGTCCTTCTAGTCCTGGAGAGAGATGTTCTGCTGTTTCTATACTCTGAGTAGGAGCTGTAGAGATGTGAGTACTGTCTGTAATGCTGTTGAGGTTGATAGTTGTTTCTCACGGGGGAGAACCGAGCATGGTTATAGCTACTGTACTGAGTGCCATAATTTGGCAGCCTCTCCAATCCAGCGCAAGATTTCCCGTCCCCTAATAAATGTTGTCCTGGTGGACAGATACACTTGAAGCTGCCGGGGGTGTTGAAGCACTGATATGCACAAGGCTTAGGCATTTGTTCACACTCATTAATGTCTGCTCGTGTGCCATGATACATAAAAGAGAGAAAAAAAAAGACACATATACACACAAAACACAGGAATAAAGAATCAGTCTGTGAAACAAACTTAAGACATCGTTACCCTCCAAAGTCAGGAATACAGTAATTTCTCAACTTGTGAACTTTTGAGAAAGCTTTAACCATTCAGTTATGAATATATGGAAAGATTTTATGATTCTCCCTAAAGATTGCTTCACATGCACAGTAGAAACATAAAAGGTCATATGGAAAAAATGTGGTCTTGAAGCAAGAAAAACTAGAGTTCGAAGCTAATCTAGATCTTAATTCTCTTGGTGGAACAGTCACATTACTAGTTTGCACTTAGTTATAGTATTGACCACTAGTGCCTCTAATTTTTCATACATTTATAAGTTTCAGATGCTGGGATATTAGTACAACTACAAACATGTTTATTTTCTTTTGTATATTTTGAATCAATAATTATTAATTAACAATCAAACCAATCACACATTTTACCAAAAATTAAAAAGGACATGAAGATAGAATAATTTCTTATTAAGATATAAACTCATAAAGTCCATACAATTTTAAAAAGTTACTTTTTTTTCTATTCCTAGGTCAACTTTTCCTGTCAATTGGATAAGTGTATAAAAACCAGAGATCAAAATCACATTTTTTAATTCATTACCACAGTGGCATGAAAAAAAACCATGAAAAAGTAAAATAAAAGTAGTAAATTTTGCTTTAAAAATTATTTCAGTAGCCAAAAGCCTAAATTAACATTTTTAGTCTCTTTAAGGCAATGGCCCTGCCTTCTTCATTGACTTATTGTCCAGTCAAGTGCCTAATATTCAACTTCTGGTCAAATTACTGAACAAATAAACACATTTCATTCTGCTAGGTCTCTGTTATGACTGATCAAGATGTTAAATTATGTATAAATTACAATATCTAAAGAGAACACAGAAATAACATGTATTTCTGTTACTAAAAAGTATTAGTATTTATTTATTCTAGTAATGGTATTACTTTGAGCATTTGCTATGTGCAAAGTACTATGCTATGTACTGTATAAAGCCAGAACTAAGTCTTTATGGGAGAATTTGCTACAAGTAATTGTTAAGTAGGCAACAAAGGCAACCAATTTTAAAAGCACAGCATGCAAAACAGAAGTCAATATTTAAAAGCTCACACAGTTTTTTGCTGCACTTAAGTATTCTGATGAGAAATAGAATTTGACAGGTCAGTTTCTTTATTATAAATGTATTAATTTAATAAAAAGCATATGGTTACCTTTTCTCAGATATTTGTTACTTATCTTAATTTATATTCAATTATAACTAAAATGGAAACAAACAGGTAATTGGGAGTATTAAATGAGATATTCTTAGTGCAGGGAATGACATCCAGTAAGCACTAAATAAATGGTAAATAAAGTAATAATTAGCAATTTGCTTAAATTCTGTGTCCACATTTTAATCCCTCATGCCTAAACCTTCATATTACATACAAGTATACTTCATATTCAAATTCAATATATCTATGCAAACATGTATGTCATGTGCATAGAGAGATAATCAATGAGATAATCTTCACAATTAAGTTGTCATGGCAATTACATCAGAACTTCAGTTTGATATGTATAGTATGCAGTAAGCACTCTGTAGTGGTTATTATTATCACTTGAAGTTAGAGTAAATTGAACTCAATATGAAGTCTCTAAGAAGTACAGGTGACCCTTGAACAACGAGGTGGTTAGGGATGCCAATCTCCATACAGTCAAAAATCTGTGTATAACTTTTGATTCCCCCCAAATTCAGTCATCCCTCAGTATCTGCAGGGAGACTGGTACTGGGACCTTGTGGATACCAAAATCCATGGATGCTCAAGTTCCTTAGACAAAATGGCATAGACCAGTGCATTTAGCTCTCTGCCTCATGAATTACCAGCTGCAAATTGAAAATACTGTTTTCAATCCATAGTTGGCTGAATCCGCAGAGGCAAAACCCAGGGATACAGAGGGCTGGGTGTATATTTATTGAAAAAAATCTGCATATAAGTGTACCCGTGAAGTTCAAACCCTTATTGTTTAAAGGTCAACTGTTATTCAAATTATGTTATGAATTACTTAAACCAAGTTACAAATCTTCTAATTGTAGCAAGAAAGCATTTGAGGATAGAAGGCTCAGTAACTACAGGAGTAACTTCATTACTCAATAAGAGTTCCTCTTAACTTACCCATACATGGTCTTCCCACTCCTTGAGACCGGTAACCTCTTGGACATACACAACGATAGCTGCCTCTTGTATTCTCACATATCTGGTTATATCTGCACTGATGGGTCCCATCTTTACACTCATCAATATCTACAGACATGAAGGCAATAAAAAGTAGTAACATTTCCTCTTTCAGAACCTAATATTTAAAGTGAACATTCTTTAGCATTGCCAAAGGTTGTATTTCTCACCATATGGTTGAGACCTGGAGTCAGAAAACCTGGGTTCAAGTCCTCACTCTGCCACTTATTAACTGGTTACTTTCTTCCTCTTGCTCCTTACTATGGAAAGAGGTCTATTCTCAGCTTTGTTTTTTTCCCCCCCCCTTCTCAATACTCCCTCCTCCTTTGGCCATTTATATTAGTGCCTCTGGTAAGCTTGTTGATGTATATTTAGTACTACATTATTGCATATTTAGTACTATAGTGCTATATGTTTAGTACTACAGTGCTGTATGTTTAGTACTACAGTGCTGTATGTTTAGTACTACAATGCTTCTTTTCTACAGTCCTACACGCCTAGCTGCTGGCCGGTCATCTCCATCTCCCTCTTTTCCCAGTTCTCCAAAGTCAACACGTCCCCAGTGTCTTATCATTACTTCCTTATTTATGGTCACAGTATTCTTTCTCCCCAGTCAACCAGGGTGCAAACGCCAGAGTTATCTGCAACTTATTCCCTCAGCTTCCAAGATTGGGTAATTCTACTTCCTTTAATCAAATACACATGTCCCCACTTCTCTTTTCCACTGAGCTATATTTTTGCTGTACCATCTTAAACAGCCTTCTGATCTTTCAGCTCATCTCATTTCTAATTAACCTTATACATAATTACAGAGTCAATGGTCTTAAAAAATATTTATAATTGCACATAACTGCCTATATGCTCTGAGTTGGTTACTATTCTTAGGTGTTCAGAAAAATATTCATCATATTCATCTATATCCATTGAGCTGAAAAGAGTCCAACTCCCCAGTTTTTTTAAAGTAATATACTAAACATCCATTTACTTCAACAAGTATCAACTGAAGGCAGTATTGCTTCATCTATGCCCTCCCTCTACTCATATTATTTTGAAACAAATCCAAGACACATTATAACTTTATTAATAAATATTTCATAATTTTAAATAAAGCCCTGTTTTTAAAATGAGAAACTTAAACTCAAATTTCTGTGTCATCTTAAGGTTCATTGAAGGAGAGACAGCTGTCAAGAAGGAAGGATGAGTTTTAACATGTTATCTCGAAGTCCAGCTCTTTCCCCCTTGAACAGGGCTTTCTTTCCTTTTTCTACCACCTCCACCTGGTAACATCCTATTCAAGGCTATATTTAAATGTGATCACTTCCATGACACCTCTGATCGTCACTCCCACTACATATGGTCACTTGTTCAAGTATCCTCGTACAATTTTATTTTACCTCTTCTGTGGTGTTTCATTCTGTCTTGTATTATAGTTTGTTTCTTTCTTTTGGTGAAGGATGTGGAGCTGGCTAATCTATTCCAGTAGGTTGTAAAAATATAAGAGCAGCAATACTATCTTTTTAATTTTTGTAAATCATGCAGTTCATAGTTCTGTTAACTATGACAGTCTGGTACAGAACAGGCATGTAAAGAATAAACTTAGAAATATAATTTACTTTACTGTCTGGTCACTGATTTGACATTTAAGGAATATTTAGTTCTACAATAATTATATTTTGAACTTTTCAATAAATTCTACAAACAATTTTTTCTTAACCCTCCTATGAAATTCTAAACATATATGTTAAACTTCATATTAGAAATAGAGACTATTAATTTATGTGGATATTAAACTATGCAAACCAAATGTGTAACTAATGGGAGCTCAAAATGGTCATATGTCTTCATGGTGAGCTTCCATTTCCTGGTATGGCCATGACCCCAGAGCCCCAGAAGTCAACCACACTAGAAGTTGGAAATAAAAACAAACCACACAACCTATGGAAAAAGAAGTATTTCCTTGTTAGGTTAAACTTTCTCTCATCATTAGTTTTGAAATGGATGCCTTACGTGGCCTGTCAATGGTAAATGTATCTCAGTCATGGAACTAGCCAGCCACTCACCAATGCAGGTTCCGTTCTCCGCCTTGGTCATTCCACTGGGACAGAGATCAATGCACTTGTAACCCCCGCGGGTGTTCTCGCAGTGCTGGTCTGGTCTGCACACGTTCTGGCGACATTCATTCACATCTTCACAGGAGAACAAAGGGCATGCAGACTGAGAAGGTGACTGCATCAACGTTTCCATAAAAACTGTACTTTTGGATTGTAAGGATATTATCCACTAATATAGATGCTGATTGCATAATCATCGTGTAAAGTTTAAGTGTTTCAATCCAACAAGGTATGCAACAAACTTAATTTTAAAACAGTAATAAAAATAAAAAACATGTCACAGAGCTGGAACCCACTTCTTTCTCCAAGAAAAACAAAAATTATATATGTTATATAACTTTATATATGCATACATTATATATGGGAGGGCAAAAGTAGGTTTACTGTTGTGAGTTTGTGAAAGACAGTATATCCTTGTATTATTATTTATTAATTATTATTTTTCATATGGACAACTGTAAACCTATTTTGCCCCACCCTGTATTGTATTTCTGTGAAAAAAATTGGTAAATATAATAGAGGAAATGTTTAAAAAGTGGTTATGTAACTGGTAAAGCACAGCATTTGCTTCTATTTTGTTTTCACATGGATTATATACGTGATGTGTGGTAGGTGTCCTATCTCTAAATCAGACTTGGGCACAGCATACGGAACAGGTCAGACACCGTTCAGAAGTTACAAAGATGTTCTGCTCTTGAATCCAAAGGCCTTTCTCACCCATGCATTTTCTGCCTTTGAGCAGATACCCGGGCTCACAGCCGCAGTGAAAACTTCCTATGGCATTGAAACAGCGGTGGTGGCAGGGACTGGATTCTTGGCATTCATTGATATCTGTCAAATAAAACAAAGCTTTCATTATACTCTGTTAGGAAACTTGGATTGATTTACCCCGAATGTTTAACATTTTAATAATCTTTGATAATGATCCTGCTTAAGATCTTCCCTAAAACGAATTCAGTACAATTGCTCTCGTATAATCTGCTAGATGATTGATAGACTTAATTGCTGGAAAGAGTCTCTCTCTTCAACACTCCTCAAAGGTAGACATTTGCTAGTGACTCAACTATGTCGACACGCACACCTCTGCTTGAGTGCTTCACCATCTGGCTCCCACTCCTGTTTCCAGGGAGTTCCAGCCCTGGATGCTGCCGACAGGCCGGGAGACAAAGATAGGAAAAAGGGAATGGGAGCCAAGGTCTTCTGCAGTCCATGTGCAGCTGACCTTTCTCCTCACTTCTGCTGCTGTCGGTCAGAGGCAGGGCTTCATCACCTTGTGCAGGGGACTGCAGCAACCTTAGCATTTCCCCTTGTCTGCTGCCCTCGCCAGTCAGTCTTCCCAAACGCTACCCGGGTCACACTGCAACGAAGAAGCGCAGGGTGATCTCCCCAAACTCATGCACCTGCCTGGTTTCTGTACCTTCTCCTCTCCCCTTCCTTCCAGGCCCAAAGGAGGAGAGATCTCTCCTCCCACCGACGAAAAGTCCCCCTATTTGAGCTTCTGAGCTCTGCAGCCCACCTCCCGAGATGAGGACTGTGGTCCATCGATAATTCCCTACTCTCGTGTATTTTAAAGTCCTTCCTACTCACAGTCATCTTTCCCATAACCCTACAGACACCTTCCCTTCCCAAACCCGAGATTGCCGATGTCTTATTTTGGACTTGCCTTCTATTTGAGCATGTCTCATTTAATCTTTCAAAATCTGCACGTTAATGTAAATTCACAAATGCGATCATCTACTTTAAAAAAGTTTTCATACACTTTCTTCTCTTTTGCTTGGCCCCTCTTACCCCTTCTTACTCCCCTGCCCACCAAAACCAACCTGTATTAACAATCTAGTGTAAATAACATGTCTCTTCTAGGTACACATGCATAGCTCTACCTAAATATATAGATCCATTTCCTTTCTCTTTGTTACTGTTTGTTTTCTAGTCACATAATCTTTTCTACACAAGTTACATATACTTTCCTACACCCTGGTGTCCTCACGCAACAGCACCTTATGGAAATTCCTTTCAGGCAAATAGCTGAGCTCCATTCTCCTCTTTATAACAGCTGCACAATGGTTTGTCTTGAGGACTTTCCATAATTAATTCATTTTTTCTATTATTGATAAGCATTCAGTTTTGTAGCCACGGTTTCTGCTTCTATGAAAAATCCTGGTAGCGTCATTAATACATAATTGCCTAAACTTGGAAGCAACCAGGATGTCCTTCAGTAGGTAAGTGGGTGAATACTATGGTACATTCACAAATGAAATATTCAGCATGAAAAAGAAATGAGCTATCACCCCATGAAAAGACATGGAGGAAACGTAAATGCATATTTCTAAGTGAAAAAGTCAACCTAAAAAGGTGACATACTATATGACATTCTGGAAAATGCCAAACTGTGGGGACAATAAAAGTATCAGTGGTTTCCAGAGGTTTGGGAAAAGAAGGGGTGAGCAGGTGGAACAGAGAAGATTTTTAGGGCAGGAAAACTATTCTATAGTTTAGGATACCATAGTGGAGGACACATGTCATTATTCATTTGTCCAAACCCATGGAATGTACAACACCAAGAGTGAATCCCCATGTAAACTATGGACTTTGGGTGATAACGATGTATCCACGTAGGTTAGTCCTTGGTAAAAAATAGGCTGCTCTGGTGCAGGATGTAAACTGTGGGGGAGGCCATGCATGAGTTGGGGCAGAGGGTATATGGGGCAGATCTCTACCTTTCACTCAATTTTGCTGTGAACCTAAAAATAAAATCTTTTAAAAAAAGTCCTGCAATAAATATCCTTGTAGTTTCGTGCACTGGAGTTTAATAAAGTAGATTCTATTAGATCATCCAGTGTCATTTCCTCTCTCAAATATAACAGGCAAATGTTATTATTGAAAACCACTGTGCTGCAAACATTTGAAAGAGCCCTGGAATATTACATCCAGAAACCTCATGGAGAAGCTCAATCTAGAAAAGAGTTTACTTTAAATGATTCAGAAGTCAGGGTGTCTTCATTCTTCGTATAAAGAGATAAAGCAAGGGCCTCCACTTTTATACCTTGACAACTCAGCCCATCAGAGGTTCTGCGAAAGCCAACTCCGCAGCGGACCACACAGCGATAGGATCCGATGGTATTGTCACAGTCCTGGCCGGCGTGGCAAGAGTGTCCGCCCAAAGCACACTCGTCAATATCTGCAACGAAGTCGGAGAGGCAACCAAGGTGAGCTGAAGAAACCAAGCTAAGAGCCTGCTGCGAAATGGGAATACGGAAAGCAATCAACAGCGCTCGAAAAACATACAAGAGCAAGAATGCTGATTTTTTTTTTTGGTTGAGCCATTTCAGGTGGGTTAAATGGCTGACAAGCTCACAGCGGCAGTGTGATATCTCCACAGACCAACCCATCCACCAGATCACCTATAAATTAGGGGTTTTTAAAAAGTTACTTCTCCTTTCTGAGATCACAGTTTTCTCATCTGTAAAATGAGAATAATAATATCTGTCTCTCAGTGTTGCTTTAAAAATTAAAGGAAATAACGTATATAAGGGGCTCAATTCATACCGGACACTCCATAAAAGTAGTTCCTCTCCCCTCCTGTTCCCCTACTCTCTCTCTCTTTTGCATTTAGAAGGGGACCTCCTTGGGCAGAGAGGGTGAAATCCTTTCTGTTTTTCTTCATTTTTTAATTATAAAACTAGATTCTTACACAATTCTAACTCTGAAGCACACCTAGTGCCTGACAGAAAAATGTGCTTTTTTGGGTTAATGTTCCCAAAGTGCTATCAGGATTGTGCAATTTAAATTCCTTATAACTGCTTCCTTAGTTTTATCATCGTAAGATGTGCATAATAGTCATGAGGCCTCTCCTGATCGTGTTGTGGGGCATGAGAGAGTCACTACAGGCACCCAAAGGAAGGGCCCCATACGAAGGCGCTGTGTGAGCAATATTCCCTCTTCCTTTCTCGACCAAATGAAGATCTCTGTCTGTTGCCAAGGTGGGGCAGAAAGAGTGAAAAGAAGAGAGTCGGTCTGCCACACTTTCCCTAGGTTGGGACTGTCATGAGTTTTGCTGAAATACATCCATTAGACTTAGGTTTGTGAACAAAGACCTTGACAAGTTCTTCCATCAGCAGCGATGGTGAGGCCTTTAGGGCAGGAGCAGTAATAGGTCCCCACAGCATTGTGGCAGATATGGGAGCAGGGCTTCCCCGTGGCACACTCATCTTCATCTGAAAGAGGAAAGAAAGGGCCCGATTAGCACATGAACCCTCTACTTTCTAGGAGTTATCAAAGTCAGCGTTTAAAGGGGCCAATGAATTGAGTCATGTGTAACAGAAAATACTCTATAAGATGGAAATGCTGAAAAAAAATTAATCCTGAGTCCCGAAATTATCTTTGATAGTGAACAGATGTTTAGGTTGATTCTAGAACAGTGATGATGATAGCTAAGATATAACAATCACTTACTGGATACAACCTCTTTTTACCTACCTGAACCCATTGCTTACAAGGGTCCTAGGAGACAAGCATTTTTATGACTAGCCTCATTTGCATGATAAAACGGAGGGGCAAAGACGTTAAGCAAACTGCCCAAGGTTACACAGGTCATTATCGGTGGAGCTGAAATTTGAGAACTTGGGCGATATAATTTCTAAAGACCCCCTTTTAACCAACACACTACATGACACTGCTATCAGTGGAAGGAGGGCGTGGTGCATGCAAACGTGAGCTGCTGGAGCCATTCACTCTGCCCTTTGCTTATCCGTGGCTGTTGTGCTGGTACTTGGCTGAGACAAGGCTGGTTTAGTCATCAGGCTTTGGCCCGAGGTCCCACCTTGCCCTATGACTGAGCAATTCTAGGGTTAGGTGATCTAGAGTTGAATTACTGCTGTTTCACATCCATGGCAATTAAGAGGCCACAGCATCCAGTGTTTTGTCCCTGTGCTCACTCCACCTCCTCACTTCATATTGATCCCTGACACACCTGATTGTGGCCAAATGGAAAGAGCACAGACTTTGTATCTAAAATTCAAACCCAGCTCTGCTGTTGGAAAGCGGAGTGACCTTAGGCACTCCTTTCCATCTCAATGTCTTCAGCTGTAAAAAGGGACATTTATAATACTATGATTAAATTTCTAGCAAAGTGGTGATAAATGTCCATTTAATGGTATCCATTATTAGCATTTTAATATAAATAAAAATGCATTATTTATTCCTATACTTACCAGCACAAAAGGGTCCAACTGAGTCTAAGGCAAACCCGGAGGGACACTGATTACTGCGATCTCCTACCATAGAGAAAAAAAGCAAAATTAACTGGCTTGTTGGAATGATAGCACTTGTTTGTTTCCAGCACAATCTTCCCTGGGAAGGTGCGCCAAGGATGGAACACACAGCACATCAAGTGCACTGAGGTGAAAACAAGCAGGAATGGAAAACTCCTGTTTCTCAACCAAGAACTAAATGAATCATAGCTCAGAGACTATTGGCAAGCAGCCATTGGAAACAGATTTTCTGTTTAAGTTGTTTATATTAATCAAAAGAAAGTTAAATAAAATTATTCAGTGACAATGAAAAAAGACCCAAAATCAATGTGTATACTACGAATAACCAAGGAGAAGTCCTCTTCTTCCAGCCATTACTGTTTGTTCCAGAAGTGAGGAAGCTATTTTCAAGCTGCTGGAAATAATTTCATGAAAAACAGAAACTCTAATGAAGAAACCCTCTCCTTCTGTGGATCTCTTTCCTTTGTAATGTGGGGCTCCAGAGTCAAAGTCCCCTCCATGTGACCAAGAGTTCTCCTTTTCCATGTAGTAAAAGCAAAGGGAAATGGGAATATTGCAATAGAATAGGATTAAAGTTAGAGACAGAAAAAAACATACTAACAAAAATAAACAGGTTAGTTAGGGAATCTCTTTCCTTAGAAAGTAACAGAGTCTTGACTGTTTTAAGCAGTTTAGCAAATATTTTTCAAACATTAGTGACCTGAATAAACTTAAATGAAACTCATTTTTCAAGTTACCAAAATAATGAATATGTACACAGCATAAAAGTCAATCATTAAGTCTAATAAATTTCTCTTAAGGGAAATTTTATTGTATTCATATTGTATATTCAGCTCATATTCAACCTTTTAGAAATAATCTTAGATTTTCTTTCCTTTCTAAATGCAAGAAACTGTGATTATTATTTTTAAAATGTTTTTATTGATTTTAGAGAGGAAGGGAGAGGGAGAGATAGAAACATCAATGATGAGAGAGTCATTGATCAGCTCCCTCCTGCACGCTCCCTACTGGGGATCAAGCCCACAACCCAGGCATGTGCCCTGACTAGGAATCGAACCTCGATCTCCCGGATCCTAGGTTGATGTTCAACTGCTGAGCCACACCAGCCAGGTTTGTGATGATTTTTATTATTGTTTTAGGAGCTCTTCATAGAGGGAATCTGGGCATTAGTTAATTTTTCAGATTCATCCTACTTTGGAGAGTCTCTGAGTACAATATTGCTTGAGCCCTGCTGAGGACA